GTGGAGCACAACAGAAAGTCCATATAGTATTCTGAGTATTTTAAATGCTTGTCTTGCATATTAGCCTTTACACTCTAATAAATCTGTGATATACGGAATGTAGCACCCAGTATACTATTCAAATAGTCACAGGCTGCCATATGGCTTGTATTAATATCTCATTAATCAACACCATCCTTTCCAAGCCCCTCATATAGCATGCTATGCTGAGATCAGGTTTCCTCCATACTTCCAGGACGATTTTAGAAGCCCAGCGCTGGATCATCATTACACGGTAAAAACACAAGCCCTGAAACAGAGAGGTAATTCCACAATCTGCTCATCATATATAAACTCCCTCATGCAGAAACACTGTACCAACTCACACAGACCCCACGTGACAGAGTGGTACTGCCCCACAGGGTTTCCTAGGCTGTAATCTTTACAGGAGCAGGTTGCCTGGGCTTTTCTCCCAGGAGGTGTCTGGAGGGTTTGAACCTCGACTTTTCGGTTAGCACTGTGACACCAGGGCCCCTTTCATCATGGATTTCACTACCTCACAAGAGATAATATATAAAATTAGCTCATGGGAAATACACAAAAATTTTCTCGACATTACACAGAAACACGGACCTGTTGTCTAAAACAAAGAGAAGCTATTAATAACAAGAATGACAATAACAACCATGACCAACTAGATACTTTTAAGGAACAAAACACTAGAGGTTCTTTGTGCCAGGTCAGCTGGGTACCAGTTACATGATCTGAGCCGTAACTGCCATCAGGATCGAAAACTTCTCCCACCATATTTTCTCCCTTCCTCCACTGCTCTCATTTCCACTGAAGCTTTTGGCTTCCATTGTCACATCAAATCCCCCAGCCTCGTCTCTCCCATTCCAGAAAAATCTTTCTGCTTTTCCCTTGCTTATAAACTACTACTTAAACCTCCAAAGAGCGAACAATCTCACCGTTTAAAACATTTTAAGATTTCAGAGAATTTAAATTTTAAGAACATTCACAATTTTAAAAACAGAAGTTAAAAAATGTAAAGGCACAAAAGTATTCTAAACTCATAACCGCCACAAGCTTCTTAATACCTAGCTCCTGGTATGTGCACATATAGTCACAAAATACATCTACAGGATGTTAGACGCCCAGGGAAGAGAGAAGTTTTATGGTCAAATAATTTTGGGAACCAGTGTATCATGGAGTTCCACTTCTCCCATGTAAT